TATATATGGACATATACATATATACACATATTTACTTGCATGTATACATAAGATATGAGAGAGAATTCGAACACCTTTTCCGGTCCTGATCGTTTTTGATTGGCTGCGACGAGTGGCAGCGCGACGATGATTGGCTGACGTGTCTGAATATGAAGGTTGCCTTACACCTTGAGTCTAGAACTTAGGATTTTTTCTTAATTAGGACGGTGGTTGGGTATTATTTTCATTTCTCTATAATAAGGATTACTTTAAAAAAGAATGAAGAGCTAAAAAAGAGTAAAGGTAAAGTAAAATGAAAACTCACTTTAGAAAAACAATATTAAACTCAAGAAAAAAATATGCTGGATGAATTTAAAGTAAAACTAAACAGAAAAACCTAAATACAGAAAAACACTCGTAGCTATTAATGATGATTATTATATAGGAGTATGATCACATACAGCTCCTACAAGCGAGTCAAAGGTACCTCAGACTTAACTTTATCTTTTGTAGCTTCCGGGGGCGTCGAGCCGGTTTCACTCAGGAAAAAATAAGGAAAAAACAAACACCAGGTTTCTGCTGCGGTCTCTGCCGAACTGTTTATTTTTCGCGGCCATTGGGGGTGAGTGGGCTGACAGTGACGTCACTTTATATAGATTTACAAAAAAAAGCCCGTATTAATAAATAATAGGTAATTAAGTTAAAATGAGAAAAATATAAAACAATCACAATAATGAACATGAGTAAAATAATTGATAAAAATAATGATGGTAAAAATGGTCACCCTAATCACTGAAACATTTGTATGATTTAAAAAGAATTGATTAAAACAAGGAAACTACAAGATAATTAAAACTTGGGCTGCCGACAAAGAACTGCATTGAAAAATAAAAAAGTAAGCTAATTAAAATGAAACGAAAACCAAAGAAAATGTTCAAAATATTGGCAAACTAAAACAAACAAAACCACGAAAACCAGGGATAAAAACTACTAAAGGTACGAGTAAAAAAGGGGTGGAATCCGGCGGGTGGAAGAATGCCGTGACGGGAAAGTGCAGTTTGCCCGACCAGGGGAGCGCGCAGGGAGAGGATGCGCGGGAGAGATAACGTCGTGCGAGGCGACTAGCCACACTACAACTTGATACCAAGGCGACTTTGATGCTGATTGACTACAATAAGGCGTTTGACTTCGTAGACCTTACAGTCGCCGTCATGTAGCTGTACCACCTGGGCTGCCGCTCGTCCATTCTGGAGTTCGTGGCGGACACCCTGTAGCGCGCTTTCGGATTATGATGAAGTTACATGTGGAGTACCACAAGTGACGTAACTCGGGGATGTTATTTTCCTCGCCTCGGTAAACACCTTCTGTCTTCAGACAAGAACAGAACCAAGTATGTCGACTTTGCAGTCGCCGAAATTATCAGTGTACAAAACGAAACCTCATTTCTAATGACACTTCTCCATAGAGCTCTGTCCAATGCCTCTGCCTCATCTAGATGTTTCTCCCTCATATCTTTTGGAACACATCTTTCCATCTGGTCTTAGGCCTTCCTCTTGGTCTGTTTCCTTCTATTTCCATTTCCATTGCCTGTCTTCCCATACCATCGCAGTCTTGATTCCTGAACATTCTTTGATATTTCTGTTACCTTAAGTGATCATCTTTTATAGTTATTCCGTATGCAGTCCATCTTTGTTACCCCCACCATCCATCTGAGCATTTTCATTTCAGCAACATCCAATTTTCTTTCTTCAACTTTTCTCAGCGGTGCAGTTTCTAAACCATAGGTCATAGCTGCTCTGACCACAGACTTATGCACCTTTCCCTTCAACTTTACAGGCACTCTCTTGTCGCAGATCACTCCCGAAACCTTTCTCCAATTATTCCATCCACATTGAATTCGGTGTTTAATCTCTCCTCCCATGCTGCCATCTTCCTCAACCATTACTCCCAAATACTTAAAGTGGTCCACTCTCTTCATGTTCAATCCATCTGTTTGTATCGTTGATTGTTGATATCCTGTGTCCGTTGTGAAATATTTTTTCCGGCTTATCTTCGGCACTCTACTCTCCAATGTAGTTCTCCATCCTTCCATCTTCCTCTGTAGCTCCTGCTTCGTCTCCGCCGATGTCATCGGCATACAGTATGCACCATGGTGGCTCTTCACGCACTTCCTCTGTCATCACATAACCACATTGAACAGTATTGGGCTGAGGGCCGAGCCTTGGTGCAAGCCAACCTTAACCTCAAACCCATCTGAATGGGATCACCAACCCCGCAAAATGTGAAGTGATGCATCTGTGCCCCCAAAATGTCCCCTCATATACCCAGATCTACGCTTGATGATACTTGCTTCCTGTTGTGTATGAAGTAAAACTTTTGGGGGTCTGCATGAACAGTGAACTAAATTGGAAATCACACGTGGACCATGTGATAGCAAAGGCAAATCATTGCATGTTCATGTTGTACCGTGGCAAAAACTTTCTCCATCGATACCATGCACACCCTATACCTGTGGTACATATGCAAGGGGCTGGAGTACGCGGCCTCGAGGTACGGTCAGAATACCCATAGATTCGCCAAATCCAGTGATTTTTTAATGAAATTTCCTCATCGGTGGACTCATTCCACTGGACTTTCGCCTCTCATTCAAAGTGATGGGCATCCACTCGTTCGAGGCGATGGGCACCCACTCGTTTAGGGCGATGGGCAACCACTCGTCCTTCGACGGACGAATGGAAAAAACCTATATTGAGAATCTATTGTAAGCATGGCATGCATATATTTTCATCTTAAACTATGATTATTATTATATTTTTAGAATTATTTGGACTTATATTACTTTACTATATCAATACTTATATTCATATTTAAACTAGAATATGAATAAAAAGTAAAAAGAAAAGCTTAGACCATCGATTACCATTTGACTGGCGAATGTAAACAAACGCGTGGCCGCCAACTTCAAATTGTTGAGACCGCAGATCTAGTAAATATTCGAAATGTGGAATTCCAAAGCAATTTACTCCTGGAGAAAATGAGAAAGGAAGGGGTGCTTTTGAACACCAAGCATCCATTTTACCACAAAAATCTTTAAACGGACCCTGTTTGACAAGATATACTCAAGAGTTGATGTCGAAGTATCCACAGCTTCCTGGACTGACGACAGGTAATGTAATAAACTTGTTCTTTTATGAATAGATTAATGCTATTGATTTTATATAATGTTTGTCTACTTTATAATTCATTTAGGACTAAATTATTGTTGCTTTTGCGAGACTGTTTTCGGAGATTGCATGATAGAGGTTTAAGCTGTGTACAAAACAAACTTTTCTTTTGGGATGTCAGTTTCTTTTTTCTTTGGCTAGATTGGGTTAAGTAAAAAATTGGCCATCCCTTATATGTATTTGTAAGTTATACTATACACATTCTAAAACAATCAACAAACATATTTTGTATGTGATATAGAAACTATTACTTAACTTAATATTGATTAAAATATTGACAAATTTGGCAGAACTTGCAAAATACAAAGCCAATTAACATGATTGTTTTCAGTTCAGTAATATACATGATAAAAAAAAATGAATTATATATGTATTAGGGAACTGAATTATTAGGGCTTGATTTTCTTTCACTACTGCAATTTTCTCTTTCCACATGTATTTATAATATACCCTATGAATTTACATATTTACACAAAAAATGCATAGTAACCATTTGTAAATTTTATCGGGGGATAAAGTAACAAAAATAATATCCGAACAACCTTTAATTATGTGTAAAAGTAGAAATAGTTGCTCTTAATTTTTAACTTTATTAGTTTGGGATTGTTAGTAAGGAATTCTTATTCAATTTTGCTTTTAATTTCTTAATGCTTGGCCCTTGAGAGTAATGTCAAATTTACAACCTTTATTATGGTAACTGATTTTGTAAATTCTCGTGATTTAAGTATTGAGTCTTTCATTTTTCTAGTTACTCAGTTTTGGAGGTCAACCCAAAAATACAGGATATCAATTATAATTATATATCAGCATTGCTTATTCTAGGCTTTGATCTCTGACATTTAACTGGATGTTATTCCCTAAGTCCTATTTATTTATGTATGTGTCATCTACACAAGAGTCTTCTGATGTTTTTAATTTAATATTTCCTAATATTTGCAGGTGATGTAATGTACAAGTTCCAGTGTCAGAAAATACTGCGGAAAAGGAACAGTATCAAAAAATGCTGCGGAAATATAAAAATACTCCGAGTGGTTCAGGGGCTCAAGTTTCTTACACCATGATGACTTAGTAAGTACGGCTGAATGTTTAAAGTGTTAAATTTATCATTAATACTTATTGTACTCACATTAAAATATTTGTAGCTAAGCAATAATATACATGGATTAAAAAAATATATATATTTTCTAAACGCTTCATTTTAAAAGGAGTGTGAGATGAAATATAATTCTTTGAAAGTTTTTGAGCTTGAATTATTCTAAATTTTGTGAATACAAGCCTTAACAGTGCATTTTATTTATTTTCATAAAACCAGTGAGGAAATGATGGCATTCTAGGGAGCCGTCGAGGAAATTCCCAATAATTGTGAAGTAATTTTACTAATCTCCTCTTCGTCAGGATCTACTCCTTCCCCTCAACCTGTTATAACCGAAGGAGTCATTGTGGGAACATCTGTAGCTACTACTAGCTATGCTGGAAACCCATCAGTGAAAGAAAGAAAGAGGAAAATGAGCAGTGATCCACTTGATGAGATGATGACAAAGGCCACTCGCAAAATGGAACAGACATGGACTGAACACTCAAGGCTGCCAATCCGCTACTGAGGCAGTAATGAATCACCTTGCTTCTGATGACTTGAAGATGAAGTTATCTTTTTCATTTATGGAACTTGTCACTAGAACACAAAATAGCCTAGAAATGTAGCGACAAGTACTTTATTCATTCAGTGAGTTTAGGGTACATATATATACTATTGTTATATATTTCCTATGGACAATACTTTAGATTGTCATTCTATTTTCCAAAATAAAATACAAAAAGAGATTTTATTTTCTTTACCCTTTTTTTTGGTATAAGGACACTATTTATTTATGAAAATTTGTTACATTTAATGAGAAAATTAAAAGTACAGTTTACTACTTTATACCTTAGGTATGAGTTTTTTAGCTTTAATTATACTTTGACATTGAATTGTTATATTCTGGTAATTTTTAACAATTTTATGCTCTTTTTTATTTATAGTCATTAGCATTATTTGATAGCGGTTTGAAAGCCACATATTTTTGGGGGGTTACTTGGCCATGGATTGAATCACAAATCAATCTAATCATTTTGATTTATTACCAAAGGAACTATGGTAAACAAAAACATGAATATAATATATTCATGTATGTGCCTTTAAATGAAATTAGGTATTTTAACGGTAAAATATGATAAAGTAAGAATCCCTAAAATATACTCTATAATTTAAAAACAGTCCAGTAGGAAACAAAACTGAAACTATATCACATCAGAAGACAATTTGATTTATTGCAAGAGGGCAGCATCACGAAACTCTGCCTCTGCCACTGAAGTAGCCTTCGAAAGTATTTCTTATTGCCAAGATATCATTGGCAAGTCTTCTTCTAACATTACCAAGCCTCTGAAGTATGAACACTGCATATTCAAAAAGAAAAACTGTCATACATATATATATATATATCTATATATATATATATATATATAATATATATATATATATTATATATATATATATAATATATATATATATATATATATCTATATATATATATATCTATATATATATATATCTATATATATATATATTATATATATATATATAATATATATATATATAATATATATATATATATTATATATATATATATAATATATATATATATATATCTATATATATATATATATATATATATCTATATATATATATATCTATATATATATATATATCTATATATATATATATAATATATATATATATATATATATATTATATATATATATATATAATATATATATATATATTATATATATATATATATTATATATATATATATATATTATATATATATATATCTATATATATATATATAATATATATATATATATATTATATATATATATATTATATATATATATATCTATATATATATATATTATATATATATATATAATATATATATATATATCTATATATATATATATATATAATATATATATATATATATAATATATATATATATATCTATATATATATATATAATATATATATATATATATCTATATATATATATATCTATATATATATATATCTATATATATATATATATAATATATATATATATATTATATATATATATATCTATATATATATATATCTATATATATATATATCTATATATATATATATCTATATATATATATATCTATATATATATATATCTATATATATATATATCTATATATATATATATATATATAATATATATATATATATATATAATATATATATATATAATATATATATATATATATAATATATATATATATATCTATATATATATATATATATAATATATATATATATATATATTATATATATATATATTATATATATATATATTATATATATATATATATCTATATATATATATATAATATATATATATATAATATATATATATATAATATATATATATATAATATATATATATATATATATCTATATATATATATATATATATATATATTATATATATATATATTATATATATATATATCTATATATATATATATCTATATATATATATATCTATATATATATATATATCTATATATATATATATATTATATATATATATATTATATATATATATATATATATAATATATATATATATATTATATATATATATATAATATATATATATATATCTATATATATATATATAATATATATATATATATATTATATATGTATAGTATATATATATATATATATATATATATATATATATATATATATATATATATATATATATATATATATATATATATATATATATATATATATATATAAACATATATATCTATTTCCAGGCCTTCGATTCCGTTTGAAGGAAATGAATTTGCTGTTTGCTGCTCTGCTGTGTTGGTGCTGCCTTGGTAGCTGCAGAGGTGATGATGGTACTACAATACTTTTCTTTATAATAATTGTATTGAATGCATGCATTTTGTTATACTGGAATCTCTCTTAGTTAAATAGATTAATCAAAATGCGTTGCTTTTCGTATTGCTATATCGCCTGCAGGGTGTATCGTGTCTGAAACAAGCAACAGGAGAGCTATCATAAAAGAGGGATTCCCGGGTACCATTTACTTGTTGCGCGAAGGAGAACTCGAAAGAGTATTCCTAAGGGTGTTTATGAAGAGAAGCGACGTTGGTCTGGAGGTCAAGACGATAACTCTGCAAGAGGAAGATCTGCCGCTGAATAAACACTTTCAAGATATCATCATTTCAACTGATTCCGTAAGATCCAATTTCATTATGACAAAAACGGGAGCAGAAAGAAAGAAAGAAACGTGATGAGCTGCATTTCATGCAATTCTGATAATATTAAGTTCAATGAAGCCAAACTCAACACAATGATATCTCTAACGATCAAAATGTGACAAGTCAGTGTGCAATACAAGACTCCGGCATTTGTCTCTTGTTGGCTGCTGTTTTACTTTTTTTATTTTCCAAAAATTGAACTTAATAACGGCGACATGACATTTGAATGGCCAGGCTCTGCCTCTGACTCCTTTTCGCATCTCCCCTCTCAGGAAGGCCACCCAAGCATGTCCCTTCCCAACATCACCGAGAGGACCTTCACCTGCTGCCAGAACTACAACATCAAGGAACTGGAGGTGGAGTCGGAGGGCGGTGGCGTCTGGCTCTTCTACAGGTGTCCGAAGGCCATGAACAAAGGGAGGCTTCAAAGGATTACCTCCCTCAGCTCGGAAGGCAGTGACAAAGGTCAGTACGTTTTTTCATGTGTAAATTAAACATATTAATACGAAGGAACTGTTGTAAAACCTTTATTGTTGATAGGGTTCAAACTGAAAATATGGTTTTATAAAAATCTCAAACGTAACAAATGGTAAAATAAATATACTAATTTTTCATCCGGGTATATACAAAATCAGACAGCTATCATTAACAATATCAGATAATTATTTCACCAATCTTAATACAGGCAGAATAACCAAAACATAACGAAATCCTTGAAGGTCAATTAAATGTTCCTGAAAAGCGTAATAATGCAATTAAAACGAATGAATGCGATATCATGGTTCCAAAGAAGTGCAAAATATTTCATACACTAAAAATAATAAAGACTTTTAAACTCCCTTAACGCCATCTCCGCATGATTACTGGTGACAGGCAGAGGTTCCAAATCCATGACCAAAGTGATGGTTGTGTCAATAGATAATATATGTAAGCATGTTTATATATGTGTGTATATGTTTGTATATATACGTATATATACATACACACATTTAAGTATGCAGACACACACATACACATACTTACACACACAAACACATACATACATATATATATATAGATATACATACATACATATATATATATATATATATATATATATATATATATATATATATATATATATATATATACATAAATATATATATATACACATAAATATATTTACACATATATTCACACACACATACGTATATATATACATATATATACACAGACATATGTGTGTATGTGTGTGTGTGTGTGTACATATATGTATGTGTGTATATATATGTATATATATTGATTCACCAGTAATACGAAGGAACTGTTGTAAAACCTTTATTGTTGATAAGGTGCAAACTGAAAAAATGGTTTTATAAAAATCTCATACGTAACAAATGGTAAAAAAATGGTAAATATACTAATTTTTCATCCGGCTATATGCAAAATTAGACAGCTATCGATAACAATATCAGATAAAAATTTCACTCATCTTAATACAGACAAAATAACCAAAGCATAACGAAATCCTTGAAGATCAGTGTTCCCGAGAAGTGTAATAATGTAATTAAAACGAATGAATGCCATATCATGGTTCCAAAGAAATACTAAATATTTCATACACTATAAATAATAAAGACCTTTAAACTACATTAACGCCATCTCCACATGATCACTGGTGACATGCAGAGGTTCCAAATCAGGGACAAGTCAAATCCAGCACAAACCGATATTATCTTTTTTTCAACATTTAATATCCTATATAAAATATACAATTACATTCCCTGTAAATACCAACACTACTAAACAAGAAAATACTATCCTGGGGCACCTTCTCTTCTGGATAAATTTATTATCCTCCATATGTATTAAATCACTCAAATAAACACAATTTTCTTCTGAAGAATGAACTAAGACCATACCTTCCATACATCAGATCATTCACAGATGTCAATTTCATATAGTATCACAGTTCCTCATCAGTGCATGACTCTGGACAGTACCTTCCAACACTTTAATGCACAGCCAAAGCAAAACAAATCCTTGCGTATACTTAGAGTACAGAAAATTAATCTTATTTCTCACAAATAATTCATTTTAACATAATGTACTTATTGAATTAGTAATTTCAATGTATATATGTTTATGAATATATACATATATATGTACTTATTCATGTACATATATGTACATATATGTGCATATACATATATATGTATATATATACCTATTTATATGTATATATATAAGTAGGTATGTATATACAAATATGTTTGTGTATGTATACACAAATATGTTTGTGTATGTATACACAAATATGTTTGTGTATGTATACACAAATATGTTTGTGTATGTATACACAAATATGTTTGTGTATGTATACACAAATATGTTTGTGTATGTATATATGTCAATGGATGGCTCGAGGGAGGAGGGCCTTGCCGGTCCTTCTCCTCCTCTCAGATAAAACTGGCAACTA